CCTGTTTTTCCCCTTAAATATCGCTTATTTTCGAAGAAATCCCTGTTTTTAACCTAAAATATCGCTTATTTTCATAGAAATCCCTGTTTTTATCGTAAGATATCGCTTATTTTCCTAGAAATCCCTGTTTTTAACCTCAAATATCGCTTATTTTCATAGAAATCCCTGTTTTTCCCCTTAAATATCGCTTATTTTCATAGAAATCCCAGTTTTTAACCTTAAATATCGCTTATTTTCATAGAAATCCCTGTTTTTAACCTAAAATATCGCTTATTTAATAGAAATCCCAGTTTTTAACCTCAAATATCGCTTATTTCCATAGAAATCCCTGTTTTTAACCTAAAATATCGCTTATTTTCATAGAAATCCCAGTTTTTAACCTCAAATATCGCTTATTTTCATAGAAATCCCTGTTTTTCCCCTTAAATATCGCTTATTTTCATAGAAATCCCTGTTTTTAACCTCAAATATCGCTTATTTTCATAGAAATCCCTGTTTTTAACCTCAAATATCGCTTATTTTCATAGAAATCCCAGTTTTTCCCCTTAAATATCGCTTATTTTCATAGAAATCCCTGTTTTTAACCTCAAATATCGCTTATTTTCATAGAAATCCCAGTTTTTAACCTAAGATATCGCTTATTTTCATAGAAATCCATGTTTTTAACCTAAAATATCGCTTATTTTCATAGAAATCCCAGTTTTCAACCTAAAATATCGCTTATTTTCATAGAAATCCCTGTTTTTCCCCTTAAATATCGCTTATTTTCATAGAAATCCCTGTTTTTAACCTAAAATATCGCTTATTTTCATTGAAATCCCTGTTTTTAACCTAAAATATCGCTTATTTTCATAGAAATCCCTGTTTTTAACCTCAAATATCGCTTATTTTCCTAGAAATCCCAGTTTTTAACCTAAAATATCGCTTATTTTCGTAGAAATCCCTGTTTTTAACCTAAAATATTGCTTATTTTCATAGAAATCCCAGTTTTTAACCTAAAATATCGCTTATTTTCATAGAAATCCCAGTTTTTAACCTAAAATATCGCTTATTTTCATAGAAATCCCAGTTTTTCCCCTTAAATATCGCTTATTTTCATAGAAATCCCTGTTTTTAACCTCAAATATCGCTTATTTTCATAGAAATCCCTGTTTTTAATCCTAAAATATCGCTTATTTTCCTAGAAATTCCTGTTTTTTAATTTAAATATCACTTATTTTCATAGAAATTCCAGTTTTTCCCTTAAAATATCGCTTATTTTCATAGAAATCCCTATTTTTAACCTCAAATATCGCTTATTTTCATAGAAATCCCTGTTTTTAACCTCAAATATCGCTCATTTCCATAGAAATCCCTGTTTTTAACCTCAAATATCGCTTATTTTCCTATAAATCCCTGTTTTTAACCTCAAATATCGCTTATTTTCATAGAAATCCCTGTTTTTAATCCTAAAATATCGCTTATTTTCCTAGAAATCCCAGTTTTTTAATTTAAATATCGCTTATTTTCATAGAAATCCCTGTTTTTAACCTCAAATATCGCTTATTTTCCTAGAAATCCCTGTTTTTAACCTCAAATATCGCTCATTTCCACAGAAATCCCTGTTTTTAACTTCAAACAACGCTTATTTTCCTAGAAATCCCTGTTTTTTACCTAAAATATCGCTTATTTTCATAGAAATCCCTGTTTTTAACCTTAAATATCGCTTATTTTCATAGAAATCCCAGTTTTTCCCCTAAAATATCGCTTATTTTCATAGAAATCCCTGTTTTTCCCCTTAAATATCGCTTATTTTCATAGAAATCCCTGTTTTTAACCTCAAATATCGCTTATTTTCATAGAAATCCCTGTTTTTAACCTAAAATATCGCTTATTTTCCTAGAAATCCCTGTTTTTAACCTCAAATATCGCTTATTTTCATAGAAATCCCAGTTTTTCCCCATAAATATCGCTTATTTTCATAGAAATCCCTGTTTTTATCCTCAAATATCGCTTATTTTCCTAGAAATCCCTGTTTTTAACCTCAAATATCGCTTATTTTCGAAGAAATCCCTGTTTTTAACCTAAAATATCGCTTATTTTCATAGAAATCCCTGTTTTTAACCTCAAATATCGCTTATTTTCATAGAAATCGCAGTTTTTCACATTAAATATCGCTTATCTTCCTAGAAATCCCTGTTTTTAACCTCAAATATCGCTTATTTTCTAGAAATCCCTGTTTTTAACCTAAAATATCGCTTATTTCCATAGAAATCCCTATTTTTCCCATAAAATATCACTTATTTTCGTAGAAATCCCAGTTTTTCCCCTTAAATATTGCTTATTGTCATAGAAATCCCAGGTTTTAACCTAAGATATCGCTTATTTTTTTAGAAATCCCTGTTTTTCCCCTTAAATATCGCTTATTTTCCTAGAAATCCCCGATTTTCCCCTTAAATATCGCTTATTTTCATAGAAATCCCTGTTTTTAACCTCAAATATCGCTTATTTTCATAGAAATCCCAGTTTTTCCCCCTAAATATCGCTTATTTTCATAGAAATCCCTGTTTTTTACCTAAAATATCGCTTATTTTCATAGAAATCCCTGTTTTTAACCTAAGATATCGCTTATTTTCATAGAAATCCCTGTTTTTATCCTAAGATATCGCTTATTTTCCTAGAAATCCCTGTTTCTAACCTCAAATATCGCTTATTTTCATAGAAATCCCTGTTTTTAACCTAAAATATCGCTTATTTTCATAGAAATCCCAGTTTTTCCCCTAAAATATCGCTTATTTTCATAGATATCCCAGTTTTTAACCTTAAATATCGCTTATTTTCATAGGAATCCCTGTTTTTCCCCTTAAATATCGCTTATTTTCATAGAAATCCCTGTTTTTCCCCTTAAATATCGCTTATTTTCATAGAAATCACTGTTTTTAACCTCAAATATCGCTTATTTTCATAGAAATTCCTGTTTTTCCCCTTAATTATCGCTTATTTTCATAGAAATCCCTGTTTTTCCCCTTAAATATCGCTTATTTTCATAGAAATCCCTGTTTTTAACCTAAAATATCGCATATTTTCATAGAAATCCATGTTTTTAACCTCAAATATCGCTTATTTTCATAGAAATCCCAGATTTCAACCTAAAATATCGCTTATTTTCATAGAAATCCCTGTTTTTCCCCTTAAATATCGCTTATTTTCCTAGAAATCCCTGTTTTTAACCTAAAATATCGCTTATTTTCATAGAAATTCCAGTTTTTCCCTTAAAATATCGCTTATTTTCATAGAAATCCCTATTTTTAACCTCAAATATCGCTTATTTTCATAGAAATCCCTATTTTTCCCCTTAAATATTGCTTATTTTCATAGAAATCCCTGTTTTTCCCCTTAAATATCGCTTATTTTCATAGAAATCCCTGTTTTTAACCTCAAATATCGCTCATTTCCACAGAAATCCCTGTTTTTAACCTTAAATATCGCTTATTTTCCTAGAAATCCCTGTTTTTTACCTAAAATATCGCTTATTTTCATAGAAATCCCTGTTTTTCCCCTTAAATATCGCTTATTTTCATAGAAATCCCTGTTTTTAACCTAAAATATCGCTTATTTTCATAGAAATCCCTGTTTTTAACCTAAAATATCGCTTATTTTCCTAGAAATCCCTGTTTTTAACCTCAAATATCGCTTATTTTCATAGAAATCCCTGTTTTTAACCTCAAATATCGCTTATTTCCATAGAAATCCCTGTTTTTAACCTAAAATATCGCTTATTTCCATAGAAATCCCAGTTTTTCCCTCAAATATCGCTTATTTTCATAGAAATCCCTGTTTTTCCCCTTAAATATCGCTTATTTTCATAGAAATCCCAGTTTTTAACCTCAAATATCGCTTATTTTCATAGAAATCCCTGTTTTTAACCTAAAATATCGGTTATTTTCATAGAAATCCCTGTTTTTAACCTCAAATATCGCTTATTTTCATAGAAATCCCAGTTTTTCCCCATAAATATCGCTTATTTTCATAGAAATCCCTGTTTTTAACCTAAAATATCGCTTATTTTCCTAGAAATCCCTGTTTTTAACCTCAAATATCGCTTATTTTCATAGAAATCCCTGTTTTTAACCTCAAATATCGCTTATTTTCGAAGAAATCCCAGTTTTTAACCTCAAATATCGCTTATTTTCCTAGAAATCCCTGTTTTTAACCTCAAATATCGCTTATTTTCCTAGAAATCCCTGTTTTTCCCCTTAAATATCGCTTATTTTCATAGAAATCCCTGTTTTTAACCTAAAATATCGCTTATTTTCCTAGAAATCCCTGTTTTTAACCTAAGATATCGCTTATTTTCATAGAAATCCCTGATTTTATCGTAAGATATCGCTTATTTTCCTAGAAATCCCTGTTTTTAACCTCAAATATCGCTTATTTTCCTAGAAATCCCTGTTTTTAACCTAAAATATCGCTTATTTTCATAGAAATCCCAGTTTTTCCCCTAAAATATTGCTTATTTTCATAGAAATCCCTGTTTTTCCCCTTAAATATCGCTTATTTTCATAGAAATCCCTGTTTTTCCCCTTAAATATCGCTTATTTTCATAGAAATCCCTGTTTTTCCCCTTAAATATCGCTTATTTTCATCGAAATCCCTGTTTTTAACCTCAAATATCGCTTATTTTCCTAGAAATCCCTGTTTTTCCCCTTAAATATCGCTTATTTTCATAGAAATCCCTGTTTTTCCCCTTAAATATTGCTTATTTTCATAGAAATCCCTGTTTTTAACCTAAAATATCGCTTATTTTCATAGAAATCCCAGTTTTTCCCATTAAATATTGCTTATTTAATAGAAATCCCAGTTTTTAACCTAAAATATCGCTTATTTTCATAGAAATCCCTGTTTTTTACCTAAAATATCGCTTATTTTCATAGAAATCCCTGTTTTTAACCTAAAATATCGCTTATTTTCATAGAAATCCCAGTTTTTCCCCTAAAATATCGCTTATTTTCATAGATATCCCTGTTTTTAACCTCAAATATCGCTTATTTTCATAGAAATCCCTGTTTTTCCCCTTAAATATCGCTTATTTTCATAGAAATCCCTGTTTTTCCCCTTAAATATCGCTTATTTTCCTAGCAATCCCTGTTTTTCCCCTCAAATATCGCTTATTTTCCTAGAAATCCCTGTTTTTAACCTCAAATATCGCTTATTTCCATAGAAATCCCTGTTTTTCCCCTTAAATATCGCTTATTTTCATAGAAATCCCTGTTTTTAACCTCAAATATCGCTTATTTTCATAGAAATCCCAGTTTTTCCCCTTAAATATCGCTTATTTTCATAGAAATCCCAGTTTTCAACCTAAAATATCGCTTATTTTCATAGAAATCCCTGTTTTTCCCCTTAAATATCGCTTATTTTCATAGAAATCCCTGTTTTTAACCTAAGATATCGCTTATTTTCATAGAAATCCCTGTTTTTAACCTCAAATATCGCTTATTTCCATAGAAATCCCTGTTTTTAACCTAAAATATCGCTTATTTTCATAGAAATCCCAGTTTTTAACCTCAAATATCGCTTATTTTCATAGAAATCCCTGTTTTTCCCCTTAAATATCGCTTATTTTCATAGAAATCCCTGTTTTTAACCTCAAATATCGCTTATTTTCATAGAAATCCCTGTTTTTAACCTCAAATATCGCTTATTTTCATAGAAATCCCAGTTTTTCCCCTTAAATATCGCTTATTTTCATAGAAATCCCTGTTTTTAACCTCAAATATCGCTTATTTTCATAGAAATCCCAGTTTTTAACCTAAGATATCGCTTATTTTCATAGAAATCCATGTTTTTAACCTAAAATATCGCTTATTTTCATAGAAATCCCAGTTTTCAACCTAAAATATCGCTTATTTTCATAGAAATCCCTGTTTTTCCCCTTAAATATCGCTTATTTTCATAGAAATCCCTGTTTTTAACCTAAAATATCGCTTATTTTCATTGAAATCCCTGTTTTTAACCTAAAATATCGCTTATTTTCATAGAAATCCCTGTTTTTAACCTCAAATATCGCTTATTTTCCTAGAAATCCCAGTTTTTAACCTAAAATATCGCTTATTTTCGTAGAAATCCCTGTTTTTAACCTAAAATATTGCTTATTTTCATAGAAATCCCAGTTTTTAACCTAAAATATCGCTTATTTTCATAGAAATCCCAGTTTTTAACCTAAAATATCGCTTATTTTCATAGAAATCCCAGTTTTTCCCCTAAAATATCGCTTATTTTCATAGATATCCCAGTTTTTAACCTCAAATATCGCTTATTTTCGTAGAAATCCCAGTTTTTCCCCTTAAATATTGCTTATTGTCATAGAAATCCCTGTTTTTAACCTAAAATATCACTTATTTTCATAGAAATCCCTGATTTTCCCCTTAAATATCGCTTATTTTCCTAGAAATCCCTGTTTTTAACCTCAAATATCGCTTATTTTCATAGAAATCCCTGATTTTCCCCTTAAATATCGCTTATTTTCCTAGAAATCCCCGTTTTTAACCTCAAATATCGCTTATTTTCATAGAAATCCCTGTTTTTCCCCTTAAATATCGCTTATTTTCATAGAAATCCCTGTTTTTCCCCTTAAATATCGCTTATTTTCATAGAAATCCCAGTTTTTCCCCTTAAATATCGCTTATTTTCATAGAAATCCCTGTTTTTAACCTCAAATATCGCTTATTTTCATAGAAATCCCTGTTTTTAATCCTAAAATATCGCTTATTTTCCTAGAAATTCCTGTTTTTTAATTTAAATATCACTTATTTTCATAGAAATTCCAGTTTTTCCCTTAAAATATCGCTTATTTTCATAGAAATCCCTATTTTTAACCTCAAATATCGCTTATTTTCATAGAAATCCCTGTTTTTAACCTCAAATATCGCTCATTTCCATAGAAATCCCTGTTTTTAACCTCAAATATCGCTTATTTTCCTATAAATCCCTGTTTTTAACCTCAAATATCGCTTATTTTCATAGAAATCCCTGTTTTTAATCCTAAAATATCGCTTATTTTCCTAGAAATCCCAGTTTTTTAATTTAAATATCGCTTATTTTCATAGAAATCCCTGTTTCTAACCTCAAATATCGCTTATTTTCCTAGAAATCCCTGTTTTTAACCTCAAATATCGCTCATTTCCACAGAAATCCCTGTTTTTAACTTCAAACAACGCTTATTTTCCTAGAAATCCCTGTTTTTTACCTAAAATATCGCTTATTTTCATAGAAATCCCTGTTTTTAACCTAAAATATCGCTTATTTTCATAGAAATCCCAGTTTTTCCCCTAAAATATCGCTTATTTTCATAGAAATCCCTGTTTTTCCCCTTAAATATCGCTTATTTTCCTAGAAATCCCTGTTTTTAACCTCAAATATCGCTTATTTTCATAGAAATCCCTGTTTTTAACCTCAAATATCGCTTATTTTCATAGAAATCCCTGTTTTTATCCTCAAATATCACTTATTTTCATAGAAATCCCAGTTTTTAACCTAAAATATCGCTTATTTTCATAGAAATCCCTGTTTTTAACCTCAAATATCGCTTATTTTCATAGAAATCCCAGTTTTTCCCCATAAATATCGCTTATTTTCATAGAAATCCCTGTTTTTATCCTCAAATATCGCTTATTTTCCTAGAAATCCCTGTTTTTAACCTCAAATATCGCTTATTTTCGAAGAAATCCCTGTTTTTAACCTAAAATATCGCTTATTTTCATAGAAATCCCTGTTTTTAACCTCAAATATCGCTTATTTTCATAGAAATCGCAGTTTTTCCCATTAAATATCGCTTATTTTCCTAGAAATCCCTGTTTTTAACCTCAAATATCGCTTATTTTCCTAGAAATCCCTGTTTTTAACCTAAAATATCGCTTATTTCCATAGAAATCCCTATTTTTCCCATAAAATATCACTTATTTTCGTAGAAATCCCAGTTTTTCCCCTTAAATATTGCTTATTGTCATAGAAATCCCAGTTTTTAACCTAAGATATCGCTTATTTTTTTAGAAATCCCTGTTTTTCCCCTTAAATATCGCTTATTTTCCTAGAAATCCCCGATTTTCCCCTTAAATATCGATTATTTTCATAGAAATCCCTGTTTTTAACCTCAAATATCGCTTATTTTCATAGAAATCCCAGTTTTTCCCCCTAAATATCGCTTATTTTCATAGAAATCCCTGTTTTTTACCTAAAATATCGCTTATTTTCATAGAAATCCCTGTTTTTAACCTAAGATATCGCTTATTTTCATAGAAATCCCTGTTTTTATCCTAAGATATCGCTTATTTTCCTAGAAATCCCTGTTTCTAACCTCAAATATCGCTTATTTTCATAGAAATCCCTGTTTTTAACCTCAAATATCGCTTATTTTCATAGAAATCCCTGTTTTTAACCTAAAATATCGCTTATTTTCATTGAAATCCCTGTTTTTAACCTTAAATATCGCTTATTTTCATAGGAATCCCTGTTTTTCCCCTTAAATATCGCTTATTTTCATAGAAATCCCTGTTTTTCCCCTTAAATATCGCTTATTTTCATCGAAATCACTGTTTTTAACCTCAAATATCGCTTATTTTCATAGAAATTCCTGTTTTTCCCCTTAATTATCGCTTATTTTCATAGAAATCCCTGTTTTTCCCCTTAAATATCGCTTATTTTCATAGAAATCCCTGTTTTTAACCTAAAATATCGCATATTTTCATAGAAATCCATGTTTTTAACCTCAAATATCGCTTATTTTCATAGAAATCCCAGATTTCAACCTAAAATATCGCTTATTTTCATAGAAATCCCTGTTTTTCCCCTTAAATATCGCTTATTTTCCTAGAAATCCCTGTTTTTAACCTAAAATATCGCTTATTTTCATAGAAATTCCAGTTTTTCCCTTAAAATATCGCTTATTTTCATAGAAATCCCTATTTTTAACCTCAAATATCGCTTATTTTCATAGAAATCCCTATTTTTCCCCTTAAATATTGCTTATTTTCATAGAAATCCCTGTTTTTCCCCTTAAATATCGCTTATTTTCATAGAAATCCCTGTTTTTAACCTCAAATATCGCTCATTTCCACAGAAATCCCTGTTTTTAACCTTAAATATCGCTTATTTTCCTAGAAATCCCTGTTTTTTACCTAAAATATCGCTTATTTTCATAGAAATCCCTGTTTTTCCCCTTAAATATCGCTTATTTTCATAGAAATCCCTGTTTTTCCCCTTAAATATTGCTTATTTTCATAGAAATCCCTGTTTTTAACCTAAAATATCGCTTATTTTCATAGAAATCCCTGTTTTTAACCTCAAATATCGCTTATTTTCATAGAAATCCCTGTTTTTAACCTCAAATATCGCTTATTTTCATAGAAATCCCTGTTTTTAACCTAAAATATCGCTTATTTTCATAGAAATCCCAGTTTTCAACCTAAAATATCGCTTATTTTCATAGAAATCCCTGTTTTTCCCCTTAAATATCGCTTATTTTCATAGAAATCCCTGTTTTTAACCTCAAATATCGCTTATTTTCATAGAAATCCCTGTTTTTAACCTAAAATATCGCTTATTTTCATAGAAATCCCTGTTTTTAACCTCAAATATCGCTTATTTTCATAGAAATCCCTGTTTTTAACCTCAAATATCGCTTATTTTCATAGAAATCCCTGTTTTTATCCTCAAATATCGCTTATTTTCATAGAAATCCCTGTTTTTAACCTCAAATATCGCTTATTTTCATAGAAATCCCTGTTTTTAACCTCAAATATCGCTTATTATCATAGAAATCCCAGTTTTTCCCCATAAATATCGCTTATTTTCATAGAAATCCCTGTTTTTAACCTCAAATATCGCTTATTTTCCTAGAAATCCCTGTTTTTAACCTCAAATATCGCTTATTTTCATAGAAATCCCTGTTTTTAACCTAAAATATCGCTTATTTTCATAGAAATCCCTGTTTTTAACCTCAAATATCGCTTATTTTCATAGAAATCGCAGTTTTTATTAAATATCGCTTATTTTCCTAGAAATCCCTGTTTTTAACCTCAAATATCGCTTATTTTCCTAGAAATCCCTGTTTTTAACCTAAAATATCGCTTATTTTCATAGAAATCCCAGTTTTTCCCATAAAATATCGCTTATTTTCATAGAAATCCCAGTTTTTCCCCTTAAATATCGCTTATTTTCATAGAAATCCCTGTTTTTAACCTAAAATATCGCTTATTTTCATAGAAATCCCTGTTTTTCCCCTTAAATATCGCTTATTTTCATAGAAATCCCTGTTTTTAACCTCAAATATCGCTTATTTTCATAGAAATCCCTGTTTTTCCCCTTAAATATCGCTTATTTTCATAGAAATCCCTGTTTTTCCCCTTAAATATCGCTTATTTTCATAGAAATCCCTGTTTTTAACCTAAATATCGCTTATTTTCATAGAAATCCCTGTTTTTAACCTAAATATCGCTTATTTTCATAGAAATCCCTGTTTTTCCCCTTAAATATCGCTTATTTTCATAGAAATCCCTGTTTTTAACCTAAAATATCGCTTATTTTCATAGAAATCCCTGTTTTTAACCTAAAATATCGCTTATTTTCATAGAAATCCCAGTTTTTAACCTAAATATCGCTTATTTTCATAGAAATCCCTGTTTTTCCCCTTAAATATCGCTTATTTTCATAGAAATCCCTGTTTTTCCCCTTAAATATCGCTTATTTTCATAGAAATCCCTGTTTTTAACCTCAAATATCGCTTATTTTCATAGAAATCCCTGTTTTTAACCTCAAATATCGCTTATTTTCATAGAAATCCCTGTTTTTCCCCTTAAATATCGCTTATTTTCATAGAAATCCCTGTTTTTCCCCTTAAATATCGCTTATTTTCATAGAAATCCCTGTTTTTAACCTCAAATATCGCTTATTTTCATAGAAATCCCTGTTTTTAACCTAAAATATCGCTTATTTTCATAGAAATCCCTGTTTTTAACCTCAAATATCGCTTATTTTCATAGAAATCCCTGTTTTTAACCTAAATATCGCTTATTTTCATAGAAATCCCTGTTTTTAACCTAAATATCGCTTATTTTCATAGAAATCCCTGTTTTTAACCTAAAATATCGCTTATTTTCATAGAAATCCCTGTTTTTCCCCTTAAAATATCGCTTATTTTCATAGAAATCCCTGTTTTTAACCTCAAATATCGCTTATTTTCATAGAAATCCCTGTTTTTCCCCTTAAATATCGCTTATTTTCATAGAAATCCCTGTTTTTCCCCTTAAATATCGCTTATTTTCATAGAAATCCCTGTTTTTAACCTCAAATATCGCTTATTTTCATAGAAATCCCTGTTTTTAACCTTAAATATCGCTTATTTTCATAGAAATCCCTGTTTTTAACCTAAAATATCGCTTATTTTCATAGAAATCCCTGTTTTTCCCCTAAATATCGCTTATTTTCATAGAAATCCCTGTTTTTAACCTAAAATATCGCTTATTTTCATAGAAATCCCTGTTTTTAACCTAAAATATCGCTTATTTTCATAGAAATCCCTGTTTTTAACCTCAAATATCGCTTATTTTCATAGAAATCCCTGTTTTTAACCTCAAATATCGCTTATTTTCATAGAAATCCCTGTTTTTCCCTCAAATATCGCTTATTTTCATAGAAATCCCTGTTTTTCCCCTTAAATATCGCTTATTTTCATAGAAATCCCTGTTTTTAACCTCAAATATCGCTTATTTTCATAGAAATCCCAGTTTTTAACCTAAAATATCGCTTATTTTCATAGAAATCCCTGTTTTTAACCTCAAATATCGCTTATTTTCATAGAAATCCCAGTTTTTCCCCATAAATATCGCTTATTTTCATAGAAATCCCTGTTTTTAACCTAAAATATCGCTTATTTTCATAGAAATCCCTGTTTTTAACCTCAAATATCGCTTATTTTCATAGAAATCCCTGTTTTTAACCTCAAATATCGCTTATTTTCATAGAAATCCCTGTTTTTAACCTCAAATATCGCTTATTTTCCTAGAAATCCCTGTTTTTAACCTCAAATATCGCTTATTTTCCTAGAAATCCCTGTTTTTCCCCCTAAATATCGCTTATTTTCATAGAAATCCCTGTTTTTCCCCTTAAATATCGCTTATTTTCATAGAAATCCCTGTTTTTAACCTAAATATCGCTTATTTTCATAGAAATCCCTGTTTTTAACCTTAAATATCGCTTATTTTCATAGAAATCCCTGTTTTTAACCTCAAATATCGCTTATTTTCATAGAAATCCCTGTTTTTAACCTAAAATATCGCTTATTTTCATAGAAATCCCAGTTTTTAACCTAAAATATCGCTTATTTTCATAGAAATCCCTGTTTTTCCCCTTAAATATCGCTTATTTTCATAGAAATCCCTGTTTTTCCCCTTAAATATCGCTTATTTTCATAGAAATCCCTGTTTTTAACCTCAAATATCGCTTATTTTCATAGAAATCCCTGTTTTTCCCCTTAAATATCGCTTATTTTCATAGAAATCCCTGTTTTTAACCTCAAATATCGCTTATTTTCATAGAAATCCCTGTTTTTAACCTAAAATATCGCTTATTTTCATAGAAATCCCTGTTTTTAACTTAAATATCGCTTATTTTCATAGAAATCCCTGTTTTTAACCTAAAATATCGCTTATTTTCATAGAAATCCCAGTTTTTAACCTAAAATATCGCTTATTTTCATAGAAATCCCAGTTTTCAACCTAAAATATCGCTTATTTTCATAGAAATCCCTGTTTTTCCCCTTAAATATCGCTTATTTTCATAGAAATCCCTGTTTTTAACCTAAAATATCGCTTATTTTCATAGAAATCCCAGTTTTTAACCTAAAATATCGCTTATTTTCATAGAAATCCCTGTTTTTAACCTCAAATATCGCTTATTTTCATAGAAATCCCAGTTTTTCCCCTCAAATATCGCTTATTTTCATAGAAATCCCTGTTTTTAACCTCAAATATCGCTTATTTTCATAGAAATCCCAGTTTTTAACCTCAAATATCGCTTATTTTCATAGAAATCCCTGTTTTTAACCTCAAATATCGCTTATTTTCATAGAAATCCCAGTTTTTAACCTCAAATATCGCTTATTTCCATGGAAATCCCTGTTTTTAACCTAAAATATCGCTTATTTTCATAGAAATCCCTGTTTTTAACCTAAATATCGCTTATTTTCATAGAAATCCCTGTTTTTAACCTCAAATATCGCTTATTTTCATAGAAATCCCTGTTTTTCCCCTTAAATATCGCTTATTTTCATAGAAATCCCTGTTTTTAACCTCAAATATCGCTTATTTTCATAGAAATCCCTGTTTTTCCCCTTAAATATCGCTTATTTTCATAGAAATCCCTGTTTTTAACCTCAAATATCGCTTATTTTCATAGAAATCCCTGTTTTTCCCCTCAAATATCGCTTATTTTCATAGAAATCCCTGTTTTTCCCCTTAAATATCGCTTATTTTCATAGAAATCCCTGTTTTTAACCTCAAATATCGCTTATTTTCATAGAAATCCCTGTTTTTCCCCTTAAATATCGCTTATTTTCATAGAAATCCCTGTTTTTAACCTCAAATATCGCTTATTTTCATAGAAATCCCAGTTTTTAACCTCAAATATCGCTTATTTTCATAGAAATCCCTGTTTTTAACCTAAAATATCGCTTATTTTCATAGAAATCCCTGTTTTTAACCTCAAAATATCGCTTATTTTCATAGAAATCCCTGTTTTTAACCTCAAATATCGCTTATTTTCATAGAAATCCCTGTTTTTCCCCTAAATATCGCTTATTTTCATAGAAATCCCTGTTTTTAACCTAAAATATCGCTTATTTTCATAGAAATCCCTGTTTTTAACCTCAAATATCGCTTATTTTCATAGAAATCCCTGTTTTTCCCCTTAAATATCGCTTATTTTCATAGAAATCCCTGTTTTTCCCCTTAAATATCGCTTATTTTCATAGAAATCCCTGTTTTTAACCTCAAATATCGCTTATTTTCATAGAAATCCCTGTTTTTAACCTCAAATATCGCTTATTTTCATAGAAATCCCTGTTTTTAACCTAAAATATCGCTTATTTTCATAGAAATCCCTGTTTTTAACCTAAATATCGCTTATTTTCATAGAAATCCCTGTTTTTAACCTCAAATATCGCTTATTTTCATAGAAATCCCTGTTTTTAACCTCAAATATCGCTTATTTTCATAGAAATCCCTGTTTTTCCCCTTAAATATCGCTTATTTTCATAGAAATCCCTGTTTTTCCCCTTAAATATCGCTTATTTTCATAGAAATCCCTGTTTTTCCCCTTAAATATCGCTTATTTTCATAGAAATCCCTGTTTTTAACCTCAAATATCGCTTATTTTCATAGAAATCCCTGTTTTTCCCCTTAAATATCGCTTATTTTCATAGAAATCCCTGTTTTTAACCTCAAATATCGCTTATTTTCATAGAAATCCCTGTTTTTAACCTAAAATATCGCTTATTTTCATAGAAATCCCTGTTTTTAACCTCAAATATCGCTTATTTTCATAGAAATCCCTGTTTTTCCCTAAATATCGCTTATTTTCATAGAAATCCCTGTTTTTCCCCTTAAATATCGCTTATTTTCATAGAAATCCCTGTTTTTAACCTAAAATATCGCTTATTATCATAGAAATCCCAGTTTTCAACCTAAAATATCGCTTATTTTCATAGAAATCCCTGTTTTTCCCCTTAAATATCGCTTATTTTCATAGAAATCCCTGTTTTTAACCTAAAATATCGCTTATTTTCATTGAAATCCCTGTTTTTCCCCTAAAATATCGCTTATTTTCATAGAAATCCCTGTTTTTAACCTCAAATATCGCTTATTTTCATAGAAATCCCTGTTTTTCCCCTTAAATATCGCTTATTTTCATAGAAATCCCTGTTTTTCCCCTTAAATATCGCTTATTTTCATAGAAATCCCTGTTTTTAACCTCAAATATCGCTTATTTTCATAGAAATCCCTGTTTTTAACCTCAAATATCGCTTATTTTCATAGAAATCCCTGTTTTTAACCTAAAATATCGCTTATTTTCATAGAAATCCCTGTTTTTAACCTCAAATATCGCTTATTTTCATAGAAATCCCTGTTTTTAACCTCAAATATCGCTTATTTTCATAGAAATCCCTGTTTTTAACCTCAAATATCGCTTATTTTCATAGAAATCCCTGTTTTTAACCTAAATATCGCTTATTTTCATAGAAATCCCTGTTTTTAACCTCAAATATCGCTTATTTTCATAGAAATCCCTGTTTTTAACCTAAAATATCGCTTATTTTCATAGAAATCCCTGTTTTTAACCCCTTAAATATCGCTTATTTTCATAGAAATCCCTGTTTTTAACCTCAAATATCGCTTATTTTCATAGAAATCCCTGTTTTTCCCCTTAAATATCGCTTATTTTCATAGAAATCCCTGTTTTTAACCTCAAATATCGCTTATTTTCATAGAAATCCCTGTTTTTAACCTCAAATATCGCTTATTTTCATAGAAATCCCTGTTTTTAACCTAAATATCGCTTATTTTCATAGAAATCCCTGTTTTTAACCTCAAATATCGCTTATTTTCATAGAAATCCCTGTTTTTAACCTCAAATATCGCTTATTTTCATAGAAATCCCTGTTTTTAACCTAAAATATCGCTTATTTTCATAGAAATCCCTGTTTTTAACCTCAAATATCGCTTATTTTCATAGAAATCCCTGTTTTTAACCTCAAATATCGCTTATTTTCATAGAAATCCCTGTTTTTAACCTCAAATATCGCTTATTTTCATAGAAATCCCTGTTTTTAACCTCAAATATCGCTTATTTTCATAGAAATCCCTGTTTTTAACCTCAAATATCGCTTATTTTCATAGAAATCCCTGTTTTTAACCTAAAATATCGCTTATTTTCATAGAAATCCCTGTTTTTAACCTCAAATATCGCTTATTTTCATAGAAATCCCTGTTTTTAACCTCAAATATCGCTTATTTTCATAGAAATCCCTGTTTTTAACCTCAAATATCGCTTATTTTCATAGAAATCCCTGTTTTTAACCTCAAATATCGCTTATTTTCATAGAAATCCCTGTTTTTAACCTCAAATATCGCTTATTTTCATAGAAATCCCAGTTTTTAACCTCAAATATCGCTTATTTTCATAGAAATCCCTGTTTTTAACCTAAAATATCGCTTATTTTCATAGAAATCCCTGTTTTTAACCTAAAATATCGCTTATTTTCATAGAAATCCCTGTTTTTAACCTCAAATATCGCTTATTTTCATAGAAATCCCTGTTTTTCCCCTTAAATATCGCTTATTTTCATAGAAATCCCTGTTTTTAACCTCAAA